AATCTTTATTCACATATGAAGATGTCAGCAAGGAAAACATGTTGCTGTTTAACTTGTATTATAGTTATTTTCATCAATGTAATTCACTTCAAGATGTGTACTTTTAACTTTAGCCTGTTTTGCTTGTAAAATAGTGTGGCATTTTTGTGACCAAACTAAAGGGTTAGAAATCTCTTCACTGCAGTTTGATAAACTAGGGGGCCCCTAACAGCATCACAAAGCTAGACACGGCCCTGCATTCTACCTCCATAACTCTGTTAATCATCAGTGATGTTTGTTAGTTCAGTGGTTTTTGTGTCGCAATCCAATAACCAGATCTGTAGTTCATAACATTCACATGAAACAGTTGTGCAATAAAGTTTGACACAAATAATCAAACTGCGTTTTGAAGCAGTTTGATTTATCCAGACTTCATTTAGTCTGGATAACATCAACCCAACGGTACCATGTTAACCCAAACCGGGTCAATAAACCTTAGTGTGTAACCACCATGTGTTACTTATAGCTTAGCTTCATGTTTTTGGGTCACATTAAAAAAACAGGAACTTCAGCAGAGTCTCTCAGATTCTAAATCTGTGATAATTTTTCACATTAGACAGACTGAAACAAACATCTACATCTGCAAACTAACAGATACAGATAGCATAAATAAACTGGAGACGTAAAACCTCTCTTTAAAAAGTAACTGATTAATTTAAATTCATTAAAGCAACAAAGGAATCTGAATGTCTCCTAACGTGTTTGTACTTTCTGAGGCAGAACAACCAACTTGGAGATTTATCACAATTTCAGCTTTTTTACGACAGAAAATGATCAGTCTAAAGAGAGATTGTTTACTACAGACCTGATAACTTCACTGCCTTTACTTACAACCTTGTAATATTTCAAATCTCACACAAATGGCCTCTCTGATGTAAAACACAAAGTTATGTTCTTAAGCTTTACAGTTGTGGGACTCTGTATTATGAAATTCGCAGCTATCTTGACCTCAAAATTCCTCAAAAAGTTGCGACAAGGAAGTTCTTGCAACACTTTTTGGGGAAGTAGTCCTTTGAGAAGGAGAATCTGTGTCCTGCACTGCAAAACATAAAATCTTACCAAGCATTTTGGTTGTTATGAACACTAGTTTCTAGTGTTAATATCTTAGTACACTTGAAATAAGACAACCAACCAATTTACAGGTAACTTATCAGCAAGGTACAGGAACTTGCTTTAAGTCAACAATTGTTTGATAATGTTATATAAGTACTAGCTATAAGTTATATACCTTGAAATTGAACCTCTGTCTCTTTAAACCTTCCTGCTCTTTCTGAAACTCCATCACAACATCGCATGCTTTTGCTGGCATTACGCTAAGAAGTAGCTCATATAGTGAGATCAACAGATGTGCACTTCCAACAGGTATTTGCTAATTGCTGCTGGCTAGTCTGAAGGATTTCTCTGTGGCAGAAACTTAGAAACTGCAGCTCTGAGGAGGAGCTGTGCCTCGAAGGTGGAGCTAGGTCCACCCAGTTGTTTTGCCCAGATGAATGGTTGTCATGGAGATTAAAAGATTTCTCAAATATGCATGAAAAAAATCAAGGCATGTTTTTGATGAGGGAATGACATTATAACATGATGTAAAGCTGAAAAAAGTTGATTTTGCAAAAGGCTGCTGCTCTAAAACAAGCTGCTCCATCTCACTGAAAAGTTTCTTGTCAGCTAGTTTTGTTTTATTTGAAGGGTAAGAAGATATTTGCACTAGAAGCTAGGCCAAAAATACTCTGTAAGATTTTGTGTCTTTATAGTGTTCTTTCATGTGAAGCAAGAAATCTTGAATATTTGGCTCTTAAAGCTACTCTTTTGAGATTAAAGCAGGTGCAGAAATGCATCTTGGGGAGTCTGTAGTTCAGCTTGCATGCAGGCCAGTCCTGAGTGAAGAGACAACGTGGAACCAAATGATGAAATCAAATGAAATAGCACGGAAAGGCCTTCGTTCTTCACTCCACTCCCTTCCGCGTGTAATCCGTCTGCCGGACAGACACAGAAACAGGTTGGAGCTCGGTGCTTCTTGCAGCTGACGCCGTGGAGAGCGACTGATCACCCAGTCGAGGTGGGGCTTCTTGGCCCAGCGCGCGGCCGTCTGAGTCAGGATGGAGCGATGAGGATGGGGCATCCCACTCACCCTCTGCACGGCCGGAGACACTGCTGCTCTGCTGTCATGGAAACAGCAGCAGTCACCACCACCAGCATGGGCCCATAATGCTCACAGACACACACACACACACACACACACACACACACACACACACACACACACACACACACACACACACACACAGGGAGCAAAATGAGATATTCTAAGTGTGCTGCTTCTTCCTCAAACATCTGCACACATTGAAGCAAAAGCAAAACACCTCAGCGGGCTGCTGAAGCCTTTAAGATGAGAGACAAACAGAAAATACACGACAACGCTCTGCGTTCGTCTTTCTGACTGGGACACAGGCTCCACAGGTGATAATTCACCACTCAGACATGCTGGTTTTTATTCATAAATCAGAGTGTAAACTCCTCATGAGGAACAACACTGATTTATAACAACTGTCCCATACAGAGTCTTTCAGAAATATTTGAAATCTTAAACATTTTATTGTTTATCAGGTAATTTATAGGGATTTAATGTGACAGACCAACACAAATGTGTAGAATTAAAGAACGGATAGAAAATGAAAATGGTTTTCAAAACTGTATCCAATAAAAGTGAGACATGGTGGTGGCAGACTCATGCTAAGGGATGCTTTTCTTCAGTTTTAGGAGCAGGGAGTCTTAATCAGAGTTGATAGGAAGATAGTTGGGCAATAAAACCAGTTAGTTAAGATTTCAGACTCCAAACGTTCAGTCAGTTTTATACTGGAGTGATTTAGATTAGAAAAAAATATTAATGTGGCTGAATGGCCCAGTCAAAGTCCAGAATTAACTTAAATTGAGAATCTTGCTCAATTTAAAAACAGAAATGCACAAACCGGGGCGTATTTACAAGGATTTGGGGCCCTGGGCTGGAGCCAGTTTTGGTGCCCAGTCAACTACAGAAAAATGTTCTGCTAATGCAAATTAAAGTTACATTTGTAGTCATAAATATCAGCAGGTATGAACTGATGCATGGCAGGTTTAATATGGCTCCCAGTCAACAGCTCCATAAGTATTCAGAAAAAAGGGGCAGTATGATGTAGCGCCATTTTATAACACAATAAAATAACTATTTATCAAACATAACATAAAAGAAATCAGATTTTTCTGTTTGCCGGCTTTTAATTGACCCTCTGTCTCTTTAAAATCCTCCTACTCTTCCTGACACTCCGCTCCAGCAATCATCTCAACATTTCTCCACTCAGCTGTTTACAGCCGTTCTTAGGCGCTTCAGACTGAGAAATAGTTCATCTGATGAGCTCAGCAGATGCGGAAATCCACCAGGTGTTTGCTAATTGCTGCTGCCGCTAGTCTGGAGGAGCTGTGTGGAAAAGGCTGTCAGGGGAGATTAAAGGATTTCTAAAACATGCATGAAAGAATCAAGGCAAAACTCCAGGTATGTTTATGATTACAACATGATGTAAAGCTTAAAAAAGTTGATTTTACATAATACTGCCCCTTTAAGGCAATTCATCAGATGTTGGCCTATGACTTTTACGTGAAGTACAAGGTTTGCAAAACATGCAAGAAATAAAACAAAAAAGTCTTTGAGGTCCCCAAAATTGGGAGTCCTGGGATGGTGACCCAGGAAACCCTTTAAAGTCTGGCCCAGTTCATAAACGATCTCATCCTATCAGAGTTAATGCAAACCACCAAAGTAAATTGTGCACTTTATCATCAACAACAGTACTTTAATGCTCAGGTCCGATTTTTTGTGAAATCCTATTTTGTATCAATGACGTTCAGGTCGGATGAATTTGACCTGGCCAGACAGAAACAGGTCACATTGGAAAAGATCAGATAAGTATCAGATTTAGAACCACATATCCAGGTGGGCTGGGTCGCATGTGTAAAAAGCTCACCTGTGTTTTTCAGATTGTCATGAAAAGACCAGATACAGGACAAAAAACTGGATTTGGTTCCGCTCAGGCTGCAGAGTGAACATAGACTGAACCCATACCCGCGGCCGGGCCAGCAGGAAATGTCCCGGTGCTCCCGATGGCCGGTCCGCTGCTTATCTCCATGCGGTCTAACGGATTTGTTCTGGGAGGAAGAACTGGCAACCGTAATTCATCTCTGCGTGTGCAGGGCTGATATAACCCAGCAGAAGGTGGCTAAATTAAAACTATGCATAATTTTCAGAGTTGGTCGATCACATAAAACCCTGTGAAAATACATTAAGTTGGAGGTTGTAATATGTCAAAATGTGTATAAAGTTACCGCGGTGTGAATGTTACCATGACTTCTGCCACACTTTCATAAATGAGTGTTTTTCACCGGATGATTTCTCCCACCTGCCCCAGTCTCGAAATCGGACATTTTCCTCCGCGCCTACATAACGCTGCCTTTTCCTGCAAATTAGCCAATAGTAGAGGTCTGCGTGTGCTTTCCTGCGTGTTAGCGGGGATCCGCCAGCAGCGCAGCGCAGCGCAGATCCCATTCAAACAGGTGTGAGGAGCAGAGACGGTCCCAGGTGGCGCATGTTGGTCGGATACGTGGCTGCAGCCTGGAGCCCGCAGGAGCAACGGCGTGAGCATCTTCGGCGCTTTTCTGAGGGCTGAGCAAGCCGCATCCGAAAATAGTGTTGGCTGTTAGAAAGTAGGTCGATAGGAACTGAAAGCGACGGTTGTTTCCACGCTTTTGTCTCTGTTCTTTGTTGTTTAGCGAGAGGACTGTGGTCTCTTTTTTTTTTCTTCTTCTTCACAGCCCACCCTTGTGTGTGGAGCCTTTTTACGCACAGGTGGGAGAAACCCGCTCTGCGTGTAGGACAGCCCCCCCTCCTCTTCTCTCTCTGCTCCTCAGCGGATGATATGAGGAAGTGACATTTTTTTTTAACCGCTGCGGTTCGGGACAGCTCGGCTCCTCTGCAAACAGGTGTTCCGCTTCTCCGGGTCACTTTTCACCACGAAGCGTCCCAGAACCTGAAGGGAGGCTTCTGGGTTCGGGACAGCCGCGGGTTTTGGGGGGGTGGGGGGGAGTAAAAAAGCCAGAAGAAGTCAGCTCTTTATTAGCCTGGGCTGCCTGGTCGGGCTCAGACGGAGAGAGAGAGAGGAAAGAGAGAGAGGAGAGAGGGGAGCGATGGCAACGAAAAAGGCGTGCGTGGATGCGCCCAAGAGGAGCCGGAGTCCGGTCGTGCTGGAGGCTGAGATGTTCCGAGAATTTCAGGACTGGTGTCTCCGAACTTACGGGGACTCCGGCAAGACAAAGACCGTCACCCGGCGAAAATACAACAAAATCATGCAGACACTGTTGCAGAACGACGAGCCGGACGGGGTGTACGTGGACAACAGCCACATCAACGCCAAATTCAAATTTTGGGTGAAGTCCAAAGGCTTCCAGGTCGGAACCAACGTTCTGGGGGAGCACAACAAGAAGGGAGCGCCGGGGAAGCCCGTCCTTTACGTCCCGGTCAAGTCAACGGTAAACTGTATTTTTTTTTTTTCGTGTGCATGTTTGCATTGCATGTGTGTGTGTATGTATGTGTGTTTGCGTGTGTGTGTGTGTGTGTGTGTGTGTGTGTGTGTGTGTGTGTGTGCGTGTCTGCGTGTGTGTGTGTGTGTGTGTGTCACGAACTGTCCCGCTGTAAGTAGTTGTCATGATGCGGGCTGCGCCCACGCACCCTATAAAGGGGAATAAAAACGACAACTTGTGATGCTTTTGTGGTCCTGATGAATCGCCACTTTGTCCATATCCCAACCAGAACAGCCCAGCACACTCTCCACTCTCATCCCTTGCTGCCATAGCAACGCCGGTGCCTCCTGGCGATGGCAATTGCAAAAAAAGAAAAAGAAAAAAAAAAAAAGAAAGAAAAAGGTAGGCCATCGTGAGCGCCAGCGAGGTTGAAGTCCTGTCAGCAGCAGGCTTCAGAGAGGGAGATAATTGATTATTTAATTATAAATGTTTATTTCTGCTGATGTCTCGTGCAGCCCGGTGTGGTGCGCGCGCACGTGGATGCAGCGGCATGTCGGTGGGTCTGCCAGGGTCCACTCCAAGTGTCTACACGGGCTGTAACGCCACTTTATGGACTGTGAACATTTCGCTGTAAACGTCTGGCTTTCAGCCGGTGACGCGCTGTCCCGTCCAAACCCGCAGCTCGTGCTTTTTATTTTTATTCATCTGCTAAATAAAAAGCGACGATGTGATCCAAAAACTGTCACGCATGAGACGTTTTTTTTTTTTAATTATTTTTTTTAGAGGATGTGATGCTGTGTAGAGCGCTGCGTTGTCACCCCGCTCCTCATTGTCCTGGGCAGGATGCGGCTCGGCTCGGCAACTCGTTGCTCTGGCAACACCTGTGTGCAACCCAGGACAGCCTGCCGCTGCCGCATTTTGTTATCTGGGCCACATTCCGACATCATGAAACGCGTCCCGTCATGTTTTTCATTAAAGGTTTCTTGCGCGTAAATTGGTGACCACGTGAATGGAGAGCGGGGATGGGGGGGAACAAAAGGCTCCGCTCGGGACTGAGAGCGACCCACACCCACAGTTGGTGCTCAGACTTGGTGATAGGTGGCGATGCTCCTGTCGGGTCACATCCGTCCCGCTGTGCGGCTGCGCGGAGCGTGAAGGGTTAAATCGCAAGAAAGATAAACATGTTCTTGACAGACTGTCAGCCGGTGGTTTGGGGTGAGAGGGGGGCCGCCGCCGTGCCATCCGACACACAACCACCATTTTAAATATGGGCGCCTTCGGGGATCCAGCCATCGTTTTGTGTTAACAAACCGGACCGGATACTGGCCCGGATTAGAGACGGAGCCGTTTGATTCGAGCTCGGTGGCGCTGATCCCCTCCACAGGTGTTTTACCTGTGTGAATGGACGATTGAGATTTGGGCCAACCGCCTTCGCAAAACTCCTCTAATCTCTGCAGGATATTGTGTTTCCCTGTGGGCAGGTGTGCAGGTGCAGATGGCGCCTCAAACGTGCTGTTGATTAGCTTTTTGTTGTTTTGTTTTTATCTTTCCTGATCTAAAATCCTGCCTGACATATGCACATAAACCAGAAACCAATCACATTGATTTTATGTATATATATAATAAATGTGTCTTTTGACATTTGTCCACATTTTGTCACGTTTAAAATCACAAACTTGAACGGATTTTATCCCGATTTTTAGTAGTTAACCGACACAAAGTAGTTGTAAAGTAAAACAGAAAAGATTCGGGATTTTATTTTAATGTATTTCATTCTTTTTTAGATATAACAAAAAAAGATTTGGACAAATCAGTTCACACTCATTTTTATTTTGTGCCAAATCAAGATGATGAATGTTCTTAAAGAGTCGAATGTATTGATAAAACCTTTTAGTAAAAATATTATTACATAGCTGCATTTTGATAAGTGCTTCTTACAATTAAATAATATTAAAAATCTTTTCACTCTGATCAGGATACTGCACACTGCATATGTGACTTATGTGACTTTGTGTTACTGGCCATATCGATCAGTGATCGATAATTTGAAAACAATGAAGTCTGAGTCAAAAGTAAGAAATACTGCCACCTACAGGTGGGAGTTGCAGTCACTTAAACCAAATGTTTTTGACGATTTTTGCGGGAAGGTATAACAGCGCGAAAAATGCGGGAATCGGTTGATGTTGCTTGAATTTCGTGATCACAAAAAACTACATTAATATCGAATTGATTGATTGTAATTTGACGTCTGGAGAGCAGATCATCCGGGCCTTGAGTTGTGTTCTAGGGATTTAATATATTTTTTAAACTAAAAGCTCAGTCAGATTCGTTTTTTAGTTTTGAGACTTTGACTGGACCATTTAACTCATTATATCTATTGATCAAAGTCATTTCATAACTTCTGAACAGATTTTCTTCCAGTATTGATTTGTAATTTGCTCTGTCCATCTTCCCATCAATTATAATCAGCTTCCCTGTCCCTGCTGAAGAAAAGCCTCCCCACAGTACGATGCTGCCACCAGTATGCGCTGTATGGGCAAGATGCTTTACTAGATCATAGGCCAAAAAGGTCCAGTTGAGCCTCATTTAGGGAACTTATACTGTTTATTGTTGTACCAAAAACTAAATTTAGTGTCTGGATGTTTACTTTTACTATCTTTTCCACTACTGGTCACATCAGAAGAGAAATAGATGCCAGTATTTTTAAAAATATGATTAAATGCAGTTATTATGTGCTGTTTGTTCTCTGCACCTGTTGCCAAAAAGTTTGTATCATTATCAGAATTATATTTTGAAAAAATAGTGATATACTCTTAAGGTCATATTGTCTCTTTGCTGACCTTAGGAAATCTTCCGGATTACCAGAAATCCCAGATTAGTAGATTATAGCATAGACTAGTATATTATTAATATAGGACTAATATTTGTCCTTCTGACAGATTCTGAAGTTACACTTGAAGCTCACAAAGCATGATGCTGCCACCACCGTTGAGATCACTTTTGGTTTCATCTGACCAAATTACCGTCCTCAAAATATTTGTTGTGTGATTTGATAAATATGACCAAAACAAAACTTGTCGTTGTAACAAGACAAAATGTGAGAAAGTTGCAGAAACATCTTTGAAGGTACTTCTTCTAGAACACTGATAATACTTTAACTGTCCTAAATCGTAACTTAACATAAATGTTCTGTTTTTTTCTTCCAACAGAAGAGCTGCTAGGGTCAGATATGAATGTTTACACGAGAGAAAATCTTGTAATCTGTCGTCTTTAGAACAAAACTGGCCCGATTAGAGGCAGAAGAAAGCCAGAAATCAGCTTGGCAAAGTCTGATCAGCTCATCTCTGATGAAAATAGATCATAAAATCACGATAAAGGCGTTAAAACTGAGCACAAAATCAATACAAAGTAATACATAAGGTAAGAAGAAAGAAAAAAAATCTACATTTAATTTAAATACTTGGTATACAAGCTAATTAATTAAAGTAATAAACTAAACAAAATGGTTTCTAAATGGTGAAACTATCCCAGGAAACAAGTCCAAGTTCTTGCCGGAAATTAGGTAAATAACTACTCAAAATGAGGTAAAATTAAGAACAAATAAAGTTAATTACTAAACTGCTCAAAGCCAAACTCTTAATAAAGTCTGGCTGATATTTAAGATGTAAGATTTAAATATCTGTTAGTTTTCCTTTAAAATCTGCAGCAGGTATCTTTTATGAAAACTACACATCTGTATTTTGACAAATATAAAAAATATATATTTATAAAATAAATATTTTTATATATTTATTTATATCTTGACAGTATAATATGAGACAGATAATCTGTGAAAAGATTGACTTCCTCCACCTCCCCCCTGACCTACGATTGAAATGAACGCTTTGAACAAAAATAAACCAATCAGAGCCAGGGGGCGGGTCTTAGTGCTGTCAATCAGTCATGTAGTCAGTGTGCTAATGGTGGAAAAACAACTTACAGTGACAGAAAAACCATTTATCCGCCATCATTAGTGGCTATGCTAACTAGTGTTAGCAAGGGATGATTGACAGCACTAAGCCCCTCCTCCTGGCTCTGATTGGTTGTTTCTAGTTAGCACTGGGAGAAAGCAGAGGAGCTTGATTTTTTTCAGAGATTATTTGTCTCATACCATCCTGTCATACCATAGTGACAGTTTAAGCAAATATATATAAAATGAAACATTACAAAAGTTACTGCAGCTTTGAAGCCTGGTTGACCACAGCAGAGCAGAGTTATTGTTGCTGGGTCAAACTGTATCGGGGCTGAGAAAAACTCAGTCCTCTCAAAATAAAACGTATTCTGCTGTTTACTGAGAGCAGCGCACATGTTTTGCAGCTAATATCATAAGGCATCGGGGGGGAAGCCTCCCCCTGACTCAGCTCCACTTGGGAAATTTAAACAACAAACAAAATATCAGCCAACACAAGCTGCTCCTAATGATGACTCAGAGGCCACAAATCAACCAATTTACTTGCATGTTCGTGCATCAGGAAAACACGACTCCGGCTTCAGCTTCTGTTTGTGGCTTTTATAAATAGGCTGTCCTGGGCCACTGGAAAAGTGACATACACGTGCAGACAGACCCACACACACACATGCAGAGAGACGCAGCGGTCGGTGGCTGCTCGCAGCGCTGCAGGGCCGGGGGCGTCTCTCTGCTCTCTGGAAGCCCCGCTGCAGCTGCTTCCAGGGTGTGCCAAGTTTCTGCATGGGGGCAGGACATGACAGGAGGCCGGGTGGGGGTAGGGATGGATCCTGGCTGATGTGAAGACAGAGAGGGTCTCTTCTGCGCGTCGCCGAGACACACAAGGGCGACTTCAGTGTGTGGCGGGACAGAAAGGGCAGGACGGCCTCAGCGCTTCGCAAATATATTATTCTTTCTTTCTCTCTGTGCGTTTCTCTTTTTTTTTTTCCAGAGAATCCACGCAGGCCTCGGTGTGGAGATGCAACCTCGTTTAGCTCTCATTATGTCCTGATTAGGGGATGCT